TTAGGATTTAGGGTTGAGGATTTGGAGTTAGGGTTTAGGGACTTAGGGTTTAGGATTTCCAGAAGTCAGGGATCCCGTTCCCATGTCTCATTTCGAAGATCTCCAGGTTTTGGCGTTGCCTTCTGGGCCCCTGATTTTGGAATCCTGCAGAGGCTTGCCGTGGCAAATGTGGAAGGTTGAGCGACTCCTGCACATCTAAATACAGTTGCAAGCTATAAGTGGCATTTTGTAGGGAGTCAAATTAGGTAACCATTCGCAACTATGGTTGTTGTTAAATGTAATACAATACAGGCACCAGCGACCCACTTCGCAGTACCCATGAGCCTCTGTAAGTTGTTATTCTCGAAAATTATGGGCCGTTCTTTGGTTACAAGTTATATTACGGCACGAAACCTCAAAGCCTAAACCCTAAACAGCAGCTTCCATTTTCTTTTCCATTATCCCTATATAACCCTTATGTAACCCCCCCTAAACCCTTAATCCTAAACAATATAACCCCAATGTAACCCCAACACAGTTTTGGGAAGGAACTCCCAGAGGAGTGGGAAGGTTCCTAAACCCTAAACCCTAAACCGCAGGTGTTCACGCCCTTCGCTTTGGTCTTGGCGATCGCCAGGCCGTGGCCACAGCTTTTGTGGGAGAAGTTGGAGGGGAAGAGGGCTAAGCTATATTCATTAATATAGGAATATACTAATACAAAATGATGATATGGTAATTAAATTTAGTAATACAGTACTACTGGAATATAGTAATGTGGTAAGTGAGGTTTAGGTTTAGGGTTTCAGGTTTAGGGTTTTGTGGGGTGCTCCACTCCACACCAACTTCAGCAGCCCAAAACCCCAAACCCAGAAACCCTAAACCCCAAACCCCGATACCCTAACCCTTAACCCTAAACAGTAGTTGGAAAAATATCCGGGAAAAAACTAGTTTCCATTTTCTTTTCCATGATCCCCCTATTACCCCTAAACCCTAAACCCTATATAAGTTTCCATTTTCTTTTCCATTTTCCCAGCATTCCCCCTACTTATAAACCCTAAACCCCGGAAGCTGCGTGGGTTTTTGGCAGGCCTTCCCTACACAAGGCTCTCAAGAAGCATCCTGTTGAGACAGCCTGGACCCCAGCTTGCTCCGTAGCGGCGACTTGGACACTGAGCCCTAAGCTCTGTCTGCACCCGAAAGCCTGCACCCTTAATCCTGAACCCCCTAAGCCCTAAGCCCTAACCCCAAACCTCAAACCCTGAACCCTAAACCTCAAATGCTGAACCCTGACCCTAATCCCTAAGTCCCAAGCCCTAAGCCCTAAACCCTAAACCCTAAACTATAGTAGCTTCCATTTTCTTTTCCATTATCCCTATATAACCCTATACAACCCTAATCCCTAAGCCCTAAGCCGTAAGCCCCGGAGGAGCACTTCGAAAAGCTGAAGACCTCTCCGCAAGGCGGGCGCATCTCCGGGAGCAAGGCTGGATCCGCTTCAGGGACCATCAGCGACGCTGGTTGTGAGTCGGAAATAAGGGGGTTTTGGGTTTGGGGTTTAATTAGGGTTTAGGGTTTAGGGGAATAGAATCCCTTATCCGTATATAATCCCTATATAATCCCTATGTGACATATTCCCTCATTCCCTGCAAAGGACCAGTAAGGCAGGGTTTTGTGAGGTAGGATTCAACTGCATGTTCGGTTGAGGATCTAGGATTTAGGGTGTTAAGTTTCAGGGTTTAAGGTGTAAATTTCCTCAGGAATATGGCCAGTGTTTATGCGGGGTGCCCATCTCAAAGACATCACCAAAACAAGTGACCTCTTTAAACGGGTGATCTAGGAGCATCCTGGATGTTTCATGGCAAGTTTCCGTTCGCCCCCTTATTAGAAAAGCCGGAAACTTCTTTTAACATCTGACTTGAAGTTGCTCACTGGCCCAATAGGCTGGGTTGCTGTATATACATACATACCCATCATGGTAATCTAGTTCAAGTTTCTTAACAGCAGCCCAGTGGGTGGATGAGCCAATGCAAGCGGCTTTTTCGCGCTCAAGGGAGCCCTAAACCCTAAACCCGAAAAATGAAGGGCTTGTCAAGGCAAAGAATCGTATCAGCGTTTGCTGCCAAGAGGACGCAAGGAGAGGGGTAGCTGAATCCTGGGCTAGTTTATGCAGCCTCTAGTGCCAATACCTACATTGGTAGTTTTCCCCAAAATAGGGGAACCCCAATATAGACCCCAAAATACCATAGTCCTTGGCACCTTTAGTTTTGGGAAACCACGAAATTGGTAGGAGATGTACTGCTCACAATTCCTCTTTGTCTCCCGCAGGTCCGGCACGTGGAGCTCTTCCGGGCTTGTGGGTGAGCCGGCGCAGTGCAGACCATGTTCTTGCGGGGTTGCTGCCAAATTGTGCTAAACCCTAAACCCTAAAAAGGGGAATATATAGAGCCCAAACTTTTTCATTCCCTTACCAAATTTTGGGAAACCCCCTTGTTGCAGTTTCTGCTTTTTAGGACGGGCTTCCTGGAAGCCTTGAATGCCCGAGTCACGTCTGCCATGTACCTGTGCCAGCCTGAGCATTCCTGCATCAGTTACATGGAAAGTTCCCCAAATTATGAGCCCCTTTTGGCGAAAGGTAAAAGGTTCTACTGTGGCAGTTAACATTCATAAATACCACAAGGGGGCCTTAATTTTGGGAACTGCCCCTTTTTTTTCAAAAGTGCTGCAGCTGCTTTCAAGTCAGGCATGGCCAGACGGTGGTCGTGGAGGGCTGTGTCGAGCAAGACCCCTGCATGTTCGTCTTATCAGGCGGCTGGGTTTAGGGTTTATAGGGTTTAGGGTTTTAGGGCTTAGGGTTTAGGGTTTTAGGGCTTAGGGTTTAGGTAGGGCTTAGGGTTTAGGGTTTAGGGCTTAGGGTTTATGGTTTACGGCTTAGGGTTTAGGGTTTAGGGTTTGATTTGGGGGTTTGG